CATTAAATGGTGTTGCTCCCTGCAACTCATGACAACTATGTCATCTAAGAAGTGATTTCACTTCAATACCTTGAATATTTTGTTCTTTTTTTGGGGGGGGTTTATGGTTGGGTGTGCGGTTTTTTGCTTTGTTTGTTTTTTTACTTTTGCTCCAGAGAGTGTTTATTTTTCAGCTTTCTTAAAGTATTTTTTAAGGAATGTTTGGCAGAATTTCAAAGCACTGAGTAGTAGTATATGAAAACTATGGCATAGGCAGTTGTGTATAGACAAATAAATGAGAAAATAAAGAGCATAGTCCAAGCCCTAGTATTTAAGTATTGATTAATGGAGTATAAACATAAAAAAAAAAAAAAAAAACAAATCCAAATCCAACTGGTCATAGAATTGTGTTTTATATAGTGCTGCTATTTATGTATATACAACATACTAACAAACACGTATATTTCTTAGGCAGACTCACTGAATAGGTTTTATTAGCTGAGATACTTTTTTTCAGTTTCTGTTTTAAGAGTGACAAATCATTTGTAATGTGAGCTTGTACTACATATGTTGCACAATACCACCTGCCTGCTGAGCACTACTTTGAAAAGCACTTTAACAGAGTTATGTCATAAGAAGCTTTAAAAATACACCAAATGGAGGACATATCAAAGATTATTGTGATGAAATGTCTTTGCAAAGTTTTGCCATTAGAAGGTTTAATACTGGTTGCATGAGGATACTAATGAGTTCATACTTCTCTATCTGGTTTCAGGGGTTTTGAATCTGAGAAATAGTAGGGGTCCCAGTGAGCTCCAGAGTCTTATGGATTTGTGGTAAAAAACAACCTGTAAAATTTTCATTCAAATGAACTAAAAAGATCATAAAACCAGTGAAACAGAAGGAAAGGGAGGAAGATAAAATAGTTAAGTGACATGTAATCTGGGCAGCTCAACTCTGTATTTTTCTAAAGAATTTCAGTATATGGAAGGAATGGGATGCATTTCAAAATCTGCATGTATATGTTAGATGTTAACCTTATTTTTATGTGTTTTTTCAAATGACTATACATCAGTGCTGAGTAGCCTTAGTCTATTCTTTACCAGTTGTCTAGTGTCACACAGATGTCATGGAAGAAAGAATTCTCTTCCAGAGGGACTGGAAGGAGGTGACAGTAAAAGTCGCCAGACCTGCTAAGGGACAGGACAGTGGGGAGGAATAAGCAAACAGGTTTGTGCACAAAGGCAGCATCAGTACCAGTTATATGCTGAAAATACTGGTTTTTGCTAAACTGATCTATAAATTACTGCCTAGAATTTAAAGAATTATTCTAGAATGGTCATGAATTCATATTCTGTGTCTGGCATCAAGAGGTCAGGATTTTAAGAGTTCCATAGTTTTTGCTTCTCAAGGAATTCTCATAAGGCTCTGGACTTATTTAATGAAGATCAGTTCTAAAGCCACAAAGAGTTTCAGTGAGTACCTCTTTTCACAGAAATCTGTATACTCTTAGCCTATAGCCCTTATTATGAATGGAGGATAAGGAAATGAAATTCCACTCACTGAACCCTGAATAAAGGGAAAAGCCCATTTTTACTTCTCCCTGCATAGCTGGTTACTCGCAGTTCCTGCCCAGATCTAATACACTGCCCCTTAATACTTTGTCTTTTATGAATCTGTTAGCAATTACCATTTTTAATCTCTGTTGGTTTGTAAAGTCATTCTCATGTTCTGGGACACCTGCAAAGGTTTTAATGGGGTCCATTATCATTCCCTCAGCTGGAATGAAGTGAGTGCTCCGACTGCTTTTAATCAATGGATGTTCAAAGGAAAAGAGCTGGTGTAAACCACCCCCTGTGTTTGTTAGTTACTAAAGCCTCTTCAAAAGATATTTTGATTTGTGGTTACATTTGACCTCTGATTGCTTTAAAACATCAGGCTGAAAGATGTTTTCCAAATGTTTTTGACTTTAATGCTATTCCATCCATAAAAATTGAGCACATTGCAAAAAACTTTATTAAAAAGTCTAAAGAGAGAAATTATTTTTCAGAGTGTAATATAACATTTCTAGTGTACATTTACTTATATTTATTATTTTATTGCAGATCTTTCACCAAAATCTTCATTCTTCTATCATCTGTAAAGAATGTGGATGCCATTTTTACTGTGAATGTTTTTAATCAAATGTTATTCAGTCAATTTCATTGCTTGGCAATTTGTCTGTAATTTATTTCCCCACTTTTATATAACAAACTATTACATATGAGCTTACAGTAGTTTTATAGACAGTTTCTTTTTATAACTTGCCACCCTAGAAATGTATTCCTACGCAGCCCCAGAAAAGGTTTATATCAGATATAATAGAGATTAAGCAGGTTCTTTTAACTCATCCATATTCTCATTTCTTCCTTTATTCTTGCTACTTTTATCTATCATGCATACCTACTCTGCAATGAATTCTAGCAGTAGAAAATTGGATTTTCTCATAAACTTTTTATTCATGAACAATCAAACATAAAACTAGGGTTCTTAATATTTTAAACTACCCACTCTAAAGTAATTTCTTGATTGATCACCTTCACCAGCCCATTCCTTAAGAAGCATATGAAATGCTGTGATCCAAAAAATTGGTGCATTCCATGACACTGAAACAAGAAAAAGCTGTATTATAATTTCATAATATATGAGGCTGCCTATTTTAGTATCTTTCTACTGACCAAGACAGATATTTAGATTTGGCACTATTACTTACCATTATTTCTGCAAATAGAGAAGACTACTTTTCAGACTTTCTTAACTACAGGATCTGATTGCATGCCTAATCTATCTATTTTGTAGGTTTAATCTTTCATTATAATGACAATAACTTTTTAAATTTAATATATAATATCTCATATATATATATAAATGCATAAATATATTCCATTGTGCTTCAGCATCAACTGGTGAAGCACAATGATTCAGTGTGTAAAGATTATCAGGAAAGTAATCATATGTTTAAAACATATATACACTATTCATCAGAACTGTGTCAATGAGAAAGTATTCCTGCCACTTCTAAAGTCACAGTAAGATTGGAAAAGAAAAAGGGCATCCATCCAACTTTAGTCATCTAACTTAGCCACACCTGTAGTAAGAAAAAGGATGCTGGCTCCTTCAAGGGCTGCAGCATCTTAACGGAGTTTCTGTTCTGACCTGCCTGATGAAGTCACTCCCCCTTCCCAGCAGAGACAGGGCCCTCGGGAAACAGCTGAGGCCAATCCCTTCCGTACGCTGAGTGCTCTTCCAAGGCTAGCAGTTGACTTTTGCAGAAACAACCCTAATAGCTAAAGTTCATATATCAGTAGTTTTTTCAGGTGAAGTCTGCTCTGCAATTACACTGGAATTACCTAAAAGTTAGTTACATTTTCTTCTCCCCCCCAAGAAACTTCTCCTGTAATATCAAATGAGGTCACCTCCTTAAAATGCCTGTCATCCAAAACTAAAGGAAATGGGAGATGTCTCGACAAATATTCCACTAAAATTCAGCAATCTTAATTCCTTCAAATTCAGCATTGCACAAATCCTGCTACTGAAACTGGAGGTAAAGTTCCTTACTTTATATGAATACACAGACTTCAGTATATAGTTTATGTGTGCTGATTAATGTTTACAAAATTTCTATAATCTACAAGAAAGAAAATGCTTTTTTACTAGCACTGAGTTAAAGATTTCAACACGTTCCTACAATAAAAGATTCATCCCTTTTGTTCCCAGGTAATTATTTTCACCATATTTAGACTAGAAAGATTATAGTATGAACTTACAAGACTCTAAACAGGATATCTCACCTACTACTGATGAAAGAAAATTACTTTAAAATTTCTTTAGACATGGTGTGTTTAATGGCAAGGAATGACCAACAGAAGTAGAGAAGTAGTAGACAAGAATTCCATTTTCCTATCCTGCTAGGATAGGCCTTACAGAGGATGTATTTGTCAACCTTGGCAGGACAGAAAAAACATTTTGTTTTTATTCAAGAGCAGGAGGAAACATAAAGTATCAAAAAATTATGGAAAACATAAGTAAACAACCAAACTACCAAAAAAGAGAATTGTATAGATTGTTTTGATTGCAAGGAAATACAAAATGCACTACTTATAGTAGAAAGACAAATGATAAAAGAACTATTGCTCTTTTTAATCCAGCCAAATAGTTATGTGTGAAAAGACAGACTTTTTCAGATAATGCTTTTTAAAACTGGAAATTGATGAGTGAGAGGAAAACACCAAACACAGATGTCAGTTTCTGTTTTTCCTTGTCCTTAGCTTTCCTTCTTTAGTGCTATTGTCAGTTCCAGCAGGACTGAGAATACTGTTCAAACTGGAACTGAAGCAGAATTTTCAAATACATCTAACATCTTTTAAGAAATTTAGATTATTTACTTTGAGCAATGTACTAAGGCAGTTTTCATTAGCATGCTTCCCCAGTTTCAATTTTCATGATTTTAGCTGGTGATGCTTTCTAACCAATAAAGAGTTAATGTCCTTAGTTGTTTGAAAGGTGATTTGCAACATTTCAGATGGTATTATGCATTGTTTTCTGTCTTTTGATATTAATCATAATTGTAGCCCCTTCTGTTACAAATGTTTGACTTTAAAACTGTCACTTGTCAGCCAGTCCAATAGGCTATTTCAGAACCAATACAGTTTATGCATGGGAAGTTTGATGTTGAAACAATATTTATTTACATTCCCAGAGTGAGATGGTTTAATATATTCATGCTGCTATAAAAGACATGCTACAAAGCCTAATCGTATTTTGTGTATATACTATGTGTACAGAGAATCTTGCTTGTATTAAAATAAAAGAGAAATGAGGTTCTAAGTATCAATTTATAAAACAGTTTTTTGTAAAATGTTGCAGTGTTTTGAGAAGCACTATTTAAGGAAACTAACTATTGGTAAACCTCCATAGAAACCACCCTTTCCAAAATTCATTGTAATAGCTCCCATCTATTTTTTTATGTTTGCATTTTGTAAAGTAGCTTACATCCCCTTCCTACGCTTGCCGCACCAGTTAAGGGGAAACCAGAGCAGACAGCAGTCTGAGTGAACGCAGTTGTCATTCAGGCACTGACCTGCTGTAAATACAAAAGCAGAGGGAGACTTACAAATGATACTACCCTTCCCCCAGCCATGACTTTTCTGCTGCAACCTGTGGCTCTTTCCCATCAGAACAGCTGGCAGATTTTAGTGCTGCCATAGCAACCCTGCCGTCAGCCCGTTGGCTTGGTAACATTGCAGCAGGAAGAAAGGCACTTCACGTCTGAGCTGTTCTTAGACTCACTGAGGTATTTTTTCAGGTTGCATTCCCAAATCCTTATTTACTGTTCGATTTAATAAATTTAGCAATGAAAAATCCTATACAGTCTTTATTTGCCAAAGAAATCAGGTCATCTTCTGTGAAATCTTGCAAAGAATTAATATCCATTCCTTGCAATGTCACAGCAGATGGATCAAATCTCTGCAGCAGCTTCAACTGATCAAGTGATAGTCCAGCTCCCTTCATGCCTTCTCCTCCAATGTGGGGTTCCTGTTCAAGTAACAAAGAAAAGCAAATTATTGCATCTTTAAAATTCTTAAATGCCCTAAATGTATTCTGCTGAGGATATGCAGAGATACCGAAGAATTCACATGGACAAGCTATGCTTGTATCATTCACACCAGAAGATCCAGAAGTAATGTGGTTCTTCTTGCCTTCATCTGGACAATATTATTCAAACATATATAGAAGATTTAGACAAGATATATACAAGTATTTTGAGGAGGTGATGATGCCCCTCATCCACTTTATCTCTGTAGTTTAGAGTACTTTTTAAGGATAGGTGCACAACTATCCTAAAACAACTCAGCACTCCAAGGGCTGAAACATCCGAAGAAAGCTGTTACCAGCAGACAGCCAGTCTAAAGGGCTGCCACTTCTAAATGATTCAGCACTTCTGTGTACTGACTTAACAGCTATGAGTTAAGTCAAAAATAGGGAGTCCTTAGCCCATTACCAGTATCATCAGTAACAGCAGTAGAATTCCAGAGACAGCTAGGTTGGAAAAGACCTCGGAAATCATCAAGTTCAACCTATGACCTAATACCACCTTGTCAACTGTACCATGGCACCAACTGCAGTCAAATCTTCCCTTAAATACCCACAGGGACTGTGACTCTACCACCTCCCTGGGCAGCCCATTCCAACACTCAGTCACCCTTCCTGTAAAGAACTTCTTCCTGATGTCCAACCTAAAATACTGGGATTCTTCACAGTAAAAGAAGAGACTTAAAGCCCGAGTCCAGAACATTTTACTGCCTGAAGAGGCATAATTCTGGCAGATGATGCAGCAGAAAAACATAACCTTTGAGTTTTCTAGTAATTTAATAAGACTAAAAGGTAAATAGGGCTACTGTTACATGTGCCTGTCTATGATGCAGACAAGAAGAGGAAGAATCAATTTCAAGAGATGACATCAGGCTTCAAAATCCTGGAGAGGAGAACTTAAAATCCCAGCCCTCTTCTCAATATTTCTTGTGAATAGCCTTGACCGCTTCTTATTTAATACCCTAATTCCTGGAAAAAAAAATAATTCTTAGCTGGATTGTTCTTTCAATGCATTCAGTAAGGAGATGGAACAAAGTGTGCAAAAGCTGGCACTGCAATATCAAAAATAGATCTCCTTTGTCAATCTAGTCTAATGTAGTCCATAATGCAGCCTACAGCAGAGTGTTTTTTCAGCCATCACACTTTGCTAACACATGAGCTCACGCAGTCAGCACATGATGCGAGTTAGCTGCTTAACCACGTACTGCATGCTGGAGAGCTGGGCAGCCAAGGGGCTGCAGACTGATTCTTCCTTTCCCTCAGCAGGATTTCAATGCTTTCCAGGTAAAAGACAAACACAGGTGTCTATTGTAAATTGAGAGAAAAGTAACATACAAAGGGAGACAAGGGGAGCAACTTGATGTAATAGAAAGAAGGTAAAAGTCTAGGGAAAACAGTATTCCACAGGTTCAAGTAACTTGCTTCAAGGCAGACCAGTGTCCTCCTCTACCTTTTCATTTTTCCTTCCAGTTAAGTTACTGCATTTAAGCTAATCTACAGTGTCTCCTTTGTAAACTCCTAAGAGGAAGTCTGCACAAAGGAGCAGCTGCCATGTGGTAACCTCCACCTACAAGAGCAATGCTTATGGCTCCATCTCCTGTTTTTTCCTTGCCCACATTACCCAATATATGTGCTTCCAAGATCTGTTGCCAAACTGAGGAAGTGAGAAACAGTGGACTGGATAAAAAAGGAGGCGTCCACTGAGACTAAAGAATATGGGAAATAAATACATAAAAGAACATGAGGTAAGTAGACTGTAGACTCCTGTTTCATGTTCATTAAAAAATATCACCTTACTTTACACTGGTAGGGACCTGGTAATAAGGTATTATAAATTATATGTGGATAAACAATTCAATGTCATCTCATTTAAAATATACTATACGTAAAAGATTAATTTTTACAGATATGGCATGTGTGTGTGAAAAACAGTGCTTTATTCAAGACTGATATTATTGGTGAGAGAAAGTTTATATAGCAAGAATTAATCTTGCATTTGACTTAATAAGGCTTATATTTCACTCTGTCATTCTATTCAGGAGGATTTTTTTGTGCTGTTATGCTGAATGTATAATCTCAGTTGAAATGTCTGGAACTGAAAAATTCTTGGTGAATAGATGGTGAGAATACAGACATAAGAACACACCATAAAAAGCTTTGATGAAGAGCTTCAGTTCTGTTAAATCTTTATCAGCTATCATATTAATTTCTCATTGTACAGCTATTGTATATTTTTTTTTTAATTTCAGTTGAAGATTCATCTAAGCTTCTTAAGACAGGTACAAGTAATCACAGAATGTGTAAGCCAAACAGGTATCAGAGTTAGACTTTTCCTCAAAGCCATGATGATAAACAACTACCACACCCAACTCCTCATCAAAGAGGGAGTGGGACACACGTGGTCTGATGATAAACCCCCTTGAAGTACTATAAAAGTAACAGATATTTCTGAATTGTATGAACTGTAGCCAGTATAGATATATTACCTCCTCCCAGACATCTTAATGGCAGACGCTGACTCTAAAAAAGACAAGGTACCTTCTTGGGACATTGAACCTGAAAAAATTTCTTTCCCTCATTCCTTTTAAATAAATGAAAAATAGGTCCCATATATATAACATCCTCCTTCTTTGAAACAAAAATTTATTTTCATTTATGTCCCATACTTTATATGCAAGTCTTCATGACTTCAGTGGCATTAACAAAAAAACCCCAAAATTTCACCTCTCCTTTGAATGTGCAAAAGAAGAGAATAAAATATATGTGCTTTAAAGAACTTGCAAGAGAAATTTTAACCTGTACAACCTATCTTTTGTCCCTGTTGTGTTTTAAAAGACTGTTGTACAAATCAAAAAAACCTCACAATATAGAGTGGGAAAATACGTAATGATGCCTCAATAAAGCTCAATTAAGGCACAAAAACCTACTTTAAAAAAAAGCCTCAGAAATCCTTCTGTTATTTCTATCCACAGCAGTTAAAATTTTCCATGGTGATAAAAAGATTTACTGATAGTAAATATAGCATGTAACTTTATACTTCCAAAATAAGACCACTAGATTGTGTGAAGTGCCCTGAAAATAGCATTACCTGTGGATGAAGCTGGAGGCATGGGAAAGTTTTCAGGGCCCAAGCAACTTGCTCCTCATTTTCAGAAAGTGTAATTGTACATGTACTATATACTAAAACACCTCCTGGCTTCAGCAACTTCACTGCCTGCAGGGAGAAATAAACAATATTTCAGCTTATTTTTAAATTTCAAACTTTCATATTAAGCAACATTAACTAATAACCCATGTACCTAGAATATTAAAACTGAACACTTAATTAAACTCAAACTGTTAAGATACAAATTCCTCTCAGGGTATACAGCAAAGGATAACATGGATTATAAAGATTCTTCTTTCAAAAGAGGCATTGTAGCTCATGCAGTTTATTAATGTCATTGAGATGACTCACCTTGTAAGATTTGTTATTTGTACAGCTCTGCATACCCCAGACAGATTAGATCTGTTTTCACCACCTGCTGCCAACCATGGATACACAATACTTATATCAGTTATATTAGGTGTCAAGTGTTTCCATGTATTTGGCATGGAAGCTATATATATGCTGCTTTTCAAGCTGTCATTAACTTTGACTATGTATCATTCAGATTTTGACAAGTTTCACCTTATCCTTCAGCATCAGCCCAAGCACACTCCTTAGCATGTTCCTAAGTCACCTGCTCCGTGACTTAGACCTTTGTAATTATTATCATGTAAAATAGTGATGAAACTGAGGGAATTAAAAAAACACAAAGCTTTTTATTTATTATGGATTACACAGACCTCTACCATGCTCCAATGAATTGGCTTCACCTGGCAAAAGATCTGGTGGAGCTGAGAGGTTAACAAGACCCTAATACTTCCTGGGTGCAAAGTTGGGAAAATGAGGCACCATTTTTTGGGTACATTTTATGCTGCAAAAGCATTTGTGTTCAACTTAGCTTATCTGCTCAGTGTTTAACACATACCACAGTGAAAAGCTTGCGCTGTAGTGGCTGATATGAGGTCACTTCCTTTAAAGTTGAGGAATAAGCCATGTTTGGTCTCTGTCCCATTCCACTACATGGAGCATCGAGAAGAATTCGATCAAATGACTCTGGTAAGAATGGAGGTCCTTCTGTAAAAAGGAGTCAGTAATGTAAAATGTGGCTGCTTCCTTCCTTGAGATTTCACTGTAGGTAAGGAGAAGCTGTTACTGCTTCCTTGACATAAAACATTTATGTGCTATAGACAGTGTCTGCAAAAGTAGTTTTAGCTAGAGGCAAGCCTCAGCACTGCTGGTGGTAGTTTTCATCTCCCAGAAAACTGAACAGTTTAAGTTCTATGAGCTCAAAAACTATTCCACTAGGCAATTTGCTTAAACTTAATTTAGTAACTTTAAAGTAAAATGTAAAAGTAATCAAACTAGTTGAAATATGATTGGTCAGAGGTGCTGGGTACAGAGTTGCACATATAGGCTGTAAAGAACCACAGTCAGCTCAAAAGTGTGCAAACCTTCACTGAGACAAACCCGTAGTTAATCACTGAGAGTGCCTTATAACAATTGGACTGTCTATATTAATGTCTATAATAACTATTTCTTGTGATGTATGCATAGCAATATAAAATAAAGCACCTCATAATCACATGAACTACTGCAACTTCTCACGGACAAACAATTCATTACAAAAAGGATTTTGAAGAGAACAATTTCTGACTGTTACCTAGATGACAATATATATCTTCCATATGCAGAGCCTATCCTTTAATCTGTACCCCAATGGCTCAACAGCCCAGAAGTTTCTATCTCCTCAGTGCTAGAGAGAATGGCTCAGCATCACTGCTGCCAAACTTGTATTATCACACTACTGCTATCTAGCTTTTTCCTGACTACAAAATGAGTCTATCTGGTTTATCTACCTCTGATCCATTACCAAAATGTTCAAAATATGTAATGTGTTACTTTCAGGAATGTACAGAAAAGCCTTCATTATCTCTCAGTATTACAGCTTGCTCTTGCTAATCTCTGTAATTGCTACTTGCCACCTACAATATTTGATGTTCATAAAAAGACTCCTAAGAAAGTACCTTTGTTCCTCCAAAGCAGGAATAACTGCAATGCATAGGGACAAAGAAGGTGAATTATGTAATCTGATTCCTACTTAGCCTAACCAGTGACTTGAGATAAAATAGACTGAGAAAGAACAGCATACTTTGCACAACAAACTAAAAATAATCAAGGCAGCAGATACCATTTAAATCATTCCATCATGGGAACAGAACCAATATTGTAACTGCATCGCTTCAAAAAGCAAATGAAATTACTTAAAATAATACACTGTGCTTGTATATAACTTTCCCTTGAACAGCTGAACAAACATCGATGAAACAAACCTTGCAGCACTCCTGGGAGTTAGGTATTAATAACCCCATTTTACTGATGAGGATTATGAGGCAGAAAAGTGAAGCAAGTCTGCAAAAATAATTTTTTTCTCAGACTAGCCCATAAACTTCCCAGTATGGGGTTAAATGTGATCATGAAAGAAACTTTAAGGCTTCTTCAGTCTTCAATATTATCTGGGAAAGGAATGCATTTTCTTTGAGAATATTACGTTGTGACAAGGACAGGTAATTTGACTTTCTATTTGCTTCATACAGAAGCTCATAATCACAAAAGAGTAGAAAATAGAAGTGCATTCACAGTGCTGAAGCAACTTAGGTATCTGCCAAGATTTCAAGAACTTGTAAACCTGTGACAGGTTTAATACTGTTTTTGCAAAACATTACTATTTTCTTCTAAAAGCTACTACCCAAATTGTTTATTTTACCTTGTTTATCCTCTCTCTTCTCTACTGAAAGGGCCTTTGTTCCATCATAGCAAAAGGCCTTAATGCAATTCAACTGTAGCAATTCAGCATTCTGCTTGATTTTCTTGACCTTGTTAGCTATCTTGTCCATGGCTATAACTTCACCCTGAAAAAAATCCCAAAGTTTTCATCAAAAGCATAGGGATTAAATGGATGTTTCCGATTTCCTTTCCTCAACCCCGGCAGTGTAATAGATAAAGCACACTCTTCCCTACAGAACTATTTTATTCTTAAATCCACACTCCTGCACTCCTTGTTCCCACGTTTTACACAATAGCCACATTAGTCTGAAGCTGTGCACATTCTGACTGCTTGGCACTGGCACTCTAAGGGATGCTGTAATATCTGACTTCTGGCAAGTGGTTTTGTTGTTTGTTTCTTTTTGTTTGCTTTGAACTGCAGAACTGGGCACTAAAATAAAAATTTAATCATTTGAATGAGGGTAGAAGCCTCAAATACATAGTAAAATAGGTCAACAGGTTTTAAATTTGTATGGAGAGGGTAGGAAATATGATCACACTACAGCTCAGTGCTGAGGAAATGAGGCCCACAGCAACGTCTCAGACTTGCTCAGACTCATAACATATTGGAATATTTGCAGTAATTGTCACTCAAGTAACTTCAGGAAATAGTGCAAATACTAGAATAAGTTTAGAGGTGAGGGGAGGGAAATCACAATTACACAATTCCTGTTATGTAAAAATAAGATTTTTTTTTCCTCCCCCAAAATAAATCAAAAAAGACACACACCACTACCTGCTACATGAAATCTGTGAACACAAAGGAAAGGAAAAAGTAGCATAAGTAAAATCCAGAACAGAACTTGCAGTAGACTTGATACAGCAAACACAGTATGCTGAGAAAACAACAACTTTTTCTATTTGGTGATGGCTCCCCTAAAGGCTTCTAGAACAACCCGACCAAAAACTTGTAGTAGACTTGATACAGCAAACACAGTATGCTGAGAAAACAACAACTTTTTCTATTTGGTGATGGCTCTCCTAAAGGCTTCTAGAATGGTAAAATGACTAAGATAGTTTAAAAAGTAAAAAAAAATCAGTAAAGATAAGCTGCTATCTGTATGTCATGTTAGGCAATATGCAGATCAAAGACTGAGAGGTAAGAATGGATTTAGGTTGTGTCTGGTGTCCAGTCTTCAGCTGCCGTGAGCCAAATCACCTCCTGCTTGTCCCCAAGCACCATTCAACCTATTGCACATGCTCTAGGACCTGACTGGCCTTCAAAGGTTTGTCTGTTGCAATAACAGTGGATTTGCTGGACATCTCTGCATACTGTAGAGACAAAGAGATGATAGAATCATAGAATGGTTTGGGTTGGAAGGGATCTTCAAGATTATCTAGTTCAACCAACCTGCCATGAGCAGGGACACCTTCTGCTAGAGCAGGTTGCTCAGAGCCCCATCCAAGCTGGCCTTGAACCCTTTGAGGGATGGACTATTCACAGCTTCTCTGTTCTTTTCTCCAGAGAAAAGAACAAGCTGCAAGACAACTCTTCTCCATTTGGCCCATGCCAGCCACTGCCAGAACAACTACTTAGGAGTCATCTGGAATAAACAGTGGTCTAAACTGGGATGCAGTTAGTAATAAATTCTCAAGCTTTAAGTATTCCCTAATCTTATTTTAGAGTTCTTAACATTACAGAGTAATCTTACATCTTGGTTATATAATTTAAAAACAATATAGAAATGTTTACAATTATATCACAAAAAAGTAAGAGTGATTTAAATCTTCTGAAATGTTAATGGTTTAATATGCTGTGAAGCATCAGTATGGAAAATCTGTGAATGGAATTTAAAATCCACATTCTTAAAAAATAAGTGGTTTTTTTCCATACCTTTATCCTCCATATCTTAAATTAAATTATATACTCAGAAAATGAAAATCAAGTGAGATAAATATTTACCATCTGTATTCTTAATCTTTACCACATTAGCTGCAGGCAAGCACAATCAAAATATGTGAAGTGAATAAGGAAAAAGCAGTTTTGCAATATACAAAGTGTAGATACACAGATGGAAAAAAATACAGATGTAAATGAAACCATGACATAAATATATGATTTGCAGACTTCCTTTATTTATCACACTGAAATTCTTTACTGGAAGCTTTATATATGTATAATGTCTAATGACTGTCTAATGCATTTTTAATGCCTTCCCATTGTTCCACACTGATGGAAAAAAACCACTTCTACAGACAAACCATCACAGAACTGAATACATGCCTTTTCTCAATACATTCATACCATTACATGCTGTGCCTTCACATTTATGCACAGGCACCTGTCAAAGTACTGCATAATCTAACTGCAAGACTTCTAAACAATCTGATATATTCTAATAACCCTATTTCAATAAAAATAATAAAGCCTTACAAAAATTTAGAGGAAATATTACATGCTTTTCTCCTCTGCTAGAGAAGAGTAACCTGCATTTCTGTATTTCACTGTGCACATAACACTTCAACATACGCAAAGCTGTAATCCTATATTTACACTCTTATTACATTCTCCTTTCCTTTGTCTTTCTCTACATACTTTTCGTTTCTTCTAATTTTTATTGCTTTCTCATTAGATAGTTTTGGATTTTGTGACATTCTATCACAGAATGACAGAAATTCAGCCTACTCTCAGCAGAATTGATAATTCTCACTGAGAACAATCCTAATTGGATTAGAAATATTTTAGTAAGTTTTTGTAGAGAGTTGTGTTTCTCTGGCACACAGTAGTAACCCCTGATTTTTATGCATCTCAGTTTCATGAATCCAGCATATTCTTGCATAACTATCCCTTGCATGTAAAAAATTATATTATTCAAAATAATTCAATAACATTTTAAAAAGTGAAATTAGATAAATTTCAACTATCAATCTGTAGCAAATAAGATTTGATAGCTGATGGTGAATACTTAATAAAGATTGTCTGTTTCCCATTTCAGTAACTGATGTGTAGCAAAATACATTGGTAAGTAAAATGTCAAAATATTAATTTTTTGCTGCTGTAAATTATCTGTGCATTCTAATAGTTAAGTGAAGAGAGCTATACAAATGAACAGCGATCAGACTTTCTTCCTTAGAAAATGCCAAATTACTTCTCCTACCTGATCATGCATCAGTGTTGCAAGATGGGTTGTTTTTCCTCCAGGTGCAGCACACATATCCAAAATTTTCTCTCCTGGTTGAGGGTTTAAAATATGACTCACAACCACAGAAGGTAAATTCTGTAATAAAAACAAATATGGGAGAATTCAAACTTTAAACTCTGCACCAACTCCTTTATTAAGGAATGGCAAACACATTTAAAAATACAATTCATCCAGCAGGGAAGACACCTATGATAATGCTCTCAGTTCTTTGACAGAAAATGAACTATTTGTATTATATATAACGGACAGTGTACGTAAGTAGTCTCCAGTGGTTCATTTTTTATTTAAAGCTATGTCTGAGTATTTATGACTGAAGTTTAAGAGCTTATGACTGAGGAGACTACAGTGCTAAAAGTCCAACTAAAATAAGCTGATACTGGCACAGAGCACAGCAGCTCTGTTTATTAAAAACACTTTATATTAACTTGTTTATTGGAATATTTACTGTATTAACATATTGGTGCAGATCAAACTGCAGAAGTCTAAGCCTGCTGAATTAAAGTAGCAAGAAGCTGAATTGTGCTATTAATTGTATAAACAGAACGGCTGCACTGAAGAGAAATCATGTGCAATAATTGTGCATAGTACTGCACTTCAGACAATATGGAAATACTTTCTTCTCAGGTTCAACACAAAGGCATAAAAACCTTTTAAAGTTGTCTTTAATACTTAAATAACAGCTTCAAATCAACCTAATATTTTGAGATTTTCCTGAGTATCTACAGAATTATGTACCTTGAAAGGGGCTCATATTGCAGGGTTCATAGGCAAATTCCAAAAACTAATAGTTCTATGCAGAGTATCTGTGCAAAAGGAATTTCTACATTTTTAAGTGATTATCTCTTATGTTGCTTTGAAATCCCTTATCAACTCTCAGACACAGTATGATTAAACCACCTACATGTAGATACTGACTTAATTTTAAATTCTTTGTGTTCCTCACATCCAAAGACTGAATTAGGTGCTACAAAGCACAAGAAATGTAGAAACTATGAATATGTGCTAGAGAATATTCATTATTCTGTAAATAGTACAGACTTTTGGTGTTGGAACAAACATACCTGTAAAAACAAATGACTAGGGAGCACATTGTCAAATGAAGGACTAAGGTAGACTGGCTCTATCATTCTTATGCCCAGCCCCCTGAAAAACATGAAAAAAAAACATTCTATTACTCAGTTTTATGCATCTTAACAGTAGTCAATTATAATCATCATGCTTACAAATAGCAACCTGAGACAACAATCTTACAAGAATGAAAGAACAACCAAGAAAAATACTTCTATTATTTTGTAATATGATATTCTCTAAAATGACATCATTAAGTTGAGTAAATCATGGCAAAAAATAATTACACAATAAATTGGAACTATCTGTAAAATTACATAAAGCAAATTTCTGGTTCTGTACACAGGATAAACCAAGATGTAATTCAAGCCTTGATACTGTAAAGAAATGCATAAAACCAGACCTAAATATCTTAACTTCAATCCATAACTGCTTTTGGTGAGCCATGTGTATGCACTAGAGCACTGGCATGTGATTTCCTACTTAGATTTTACTCCATTTCCTAAATTCCTGAGATTTCAGTCAAATTACTACAGAAATCCTATATGAAAAGCCTTGCAAGAACATTGATTTGCCTGCAAAGCTATGGTTTGAAATTAGAAGTCACCTAAAAGTTTTAAATATGGATGAAATTGTGACGCAGATATAATTGTTAAACCAATGTACTAGGAAATGGATAACAATAAAGAGAAAACTATGCAAAAGCAACTCTGAGTCTACAAACAAAGATTACTAAAGAGAAAGAGTATTATTTTGCCTCTGTACTGGACAGTCCAATGGGAAGAAAGGATATGAGAAAGCAAACTTGCAGACACCAGATTTAGTGTTACATACTGCTGTTCCATGTCAGCAACTCAACAGCTACATCCTACCACTACTCCTACTATATTTAAGCTCTCATAAATCAGAAATTCTCTGGAAATGTACTTTTTTTTCAAAAGAACTTTTGTAGCTTGTTCTCAGGAAGTAAAGTCTTGGTCATTAATTTGACATCCACAGTCTTTTACATTACTTTTTCTATGTGTTTTAGGTGACACAAGAGGAAAAACCATATGCTTCACCAACAAAATAGAAAAGCAAGTAATCTTGAAATAGGTAACTACTTTGGCAAATGTTAGTAATTTTTTTATGATACCCGACCTTATGTTCTGTCCTTTGTCGCGCCAAAAAAAAAAAAAAAAGAACCTCTACAGATATTTTTAAAAGATGGAGAAATTGACAAGGCTGCACTTCTGTTCCATCCAAAGAGGGAAGTAGTACAATACAATTCACCAAAATGCAATTTTGCCAGAGTGAGAACATTTGTCAGTTCTGTTTGATATTATTGAACTGAATAAACATAAATTATTAAAAGACTCCCACTTATTTCCTCCCACCTCTCAAGTAAATTGGTATCTGAATCCCACTATGAAACTAACAGCTTACCAAAACATATTGGAAATCCCAATGTGTAATGCCATCTTCTGACTTCACATAGGCTACAAAATAATTCAAAGTGTTTTCCCCTTCTTCCTTCCCTTTGCAAATTTTTACACGTAGATTGCAATTACAATGGACTTACTTCAATGGGCCACTTGAACTGAAGATTTCACTGCGGCTGAGTTCTGAAATCCCATTTCCAAGGAAAACTTTGACTCCATCGAATTCTTTGGCTCCTCTTTTGCATTTCCCTTCAATATCTGAGTACACTGAAACCAGATCTCCAGCTTTCACAACTGCACAAAGGAAAATGGAAAGCTCGAAATCATTAAGACATTTAACAAAACAGTAGTGACCAAGTAACTTAGGGTTTTCAGTAGACTACTTATTTCAACTCTTCTATCATACCAAACTTCACACTTTCTAAATGTAATCAAAGAAGATCAACTGATATAAAGCTTTAAAGTTTTACACAGTGAATGACAGCTAACAAACCACTGGAGGTACTGAGAGACACCAAGGTGCAAGTCAGGCACTGTGTCTTGTTTTCCAAGAGGCTACACAAACCTGCATTTTATTTTATCAAGTCAAGGTCACCCAAAAGTTTTAGGCACACCTTTCAGGATCCAGTCCCCCACATGTGCTCCAAGCACACAAGTACGTGAAATCACACTCCTCACCCTTACTGAAGAAAGGCAGGAATACTAAATTTATCTAATGACCTCTCAAATAGCCACCTAGAACATGGCTATAGCTGCTTTTTCTCTAACTACTTATTGCTTTGACACAAGTGATTATATATTCTTGTTCTGGTGTGGCTCTCTTCCCTTTAAGAGAATTGCTGTTCTCAATAATCTTAGAGTGTTTTATATCTCCAATTAAAATCCACCAGATCAGTAAAATATGTAAATATACACCAAACTCTAAGTGTATTCCTACAGACTTAACAAACTTTCTGAGTTCGGAAAAAAAATACAAAAGGGATGGTTTAGGTGATTTTACATAACAGTGAACAAGTGCTATGTGTTGACTGGCTGAAAAATATGCTTAAAAATAAAGGCCTCTTCTGACAGCAATAAAAAAAAATTCCAAAATTGCACTTCTGAGGTGCTGACAGGCTAGAGGAACAAGAAGATATAACAAGATAATGGCAGTTCAGCTTCCCAAGAGTTCTCGGAACTGCACCAGAGAATACTTTTCCCCATTTTCAGGTGACCTTCTGATTATGCCCAAATGTCCTGAAATTCTTAAATTGTAGTGTTTGTTGGGTAGCCATTGAAAATATATTTTTTACACTATTTATTTTTACACAATGCGACACAAACCATTATGTGATTGCTCAGTATTAATGTCTGCTTAAACTTCACTGAACAAAAACCTGCAGCAATTTAACTCTTCCATATCTGTCAAAGTTTTTTGCAGTATTCAAACATAAATTATTTTATTTCACTCTCTGCTGACAATCATCCTTTCAAAATGCACTAGTCCTGCATAGGATTTTTAAGTTTTCTGTAGATTATAGCAGCATTCCACAAACATAAAGGTTAGAGTTTGATTAGTTAAATTAAGCTCAAAGCCCCCTGATCATTAGTTTACACTCATTTGGATTGCAAGTTCAGTGATTAAATATGTGTTCTTGATGGACTATTTTTTTTCCTAGTTAGACCATCTGTGCTTAATACAGCTTTATTATATTTGGCATCAAGTGGGTAGTGTGCCCTTTTATTTTATTTTCTTATCTGCAATTCCCCTGAAGTGTTCCATAAGTTTTATAGTATCTTTATTTTCTTTGAATTGATATTACATGCATAATTACATGTGGCAATTATGATAAATCACTAGCTGACTCAAAGAAGAATTTGAATATTTATGGGGTTCTCTAAATAAGCAGTTCTAACAACTGCTATGCCAATGTACTTATTTCATTATCAAGCCCTAGATTGAAAAACATTCCTGTTCAGTGAATTGGACTTAAGCACATGCTTAAAACTTCTTGAAGGTTTTTTCCTGAAAGGAAATGAAGTGACTTGACAAATGCTTTTCTGACTCATTTTGTTTAATAATAAGAATCAAGATGATCACTAGATCTCATCACAATAGACTAATAAGGTGAATCATCCAAAATTATACTGGTTTTACATAAAGTTAATTTGACATTTAAAGAACAAAAATAGGTTGCTGAACAAAAAGCATGCATATGTAGATTTTTTTAATCTTGTCTCACAGGCATTGATGCATAATTTCCATTTCTTAAGAATTTGACATGAAAACTGGCATAAATTTCTTCTCATCAATGAAAAAAATATTTTTACTACATCTCTCTTAGATAAACAAATGATTCCCCAATGGATTAGAAAAAAAAATCTGTGGTTTTTTTGATTTGTAACTTAAATCAGGGTAAGTGGCTCTAGGACTGAGTGAAGAAATAAAAAATCTGTATCTATTAAATAATCAAGACACACCTAGTCACCATGCAGATGTGGTATCCCTTTTTTTTTTAAGCAACCAATTTTGTAACTTTATTCAACTTAATATCCTTATTAAAAGTTACAGTATTTAGTAGTAAAAAACACTCATTAAAAAACACTCATTAAAACTGGTTTTATTTTGAAAATTCTCTTTAAAAATATTTTGAAATGAAATTGAAATTCTTGAGAACTAATACTTCAGCCACGAATTGTATGGAAAAAGGAACTTAAAACAGGCCAGGCCAGTGAGAAATAATTACATATAACTTACTATAAGTAAATTGAAAAATAGTGAAAATATAAAAGAAAAAAAAGCCAGAAAAACTTTTAAAAGTCTCATCGCCATAAACCACAACTGTAAAATTAACTTCAGCTGAGAATAGAAAACAATTTTGTGTCACTATTCATTTATCTATTATTCAAGGGTGCCACTTTTTCTGCCATCTTTACAACATAATTGGGTGTATTTAGAGAACTCTTACATCTTGAGGTAGATACAATTCCAGGGACATAAACGTGTGCTCCTCGAAGTACTGCATATCCACACTGGGCTCCAACTATGACTTCAGATGCATGTTTTTTTAAATCTCGCCTAGAAATACAAAATGCAGTTGAGTAAAAAAGAAAAGTATACTGAAAAAAAAAAAGCCAAACACTCCCCAAGTAAACTCTAGTTCACAAATATGGTTTTTATCAGATATAATAGAGAAAAGGTAGTTAACTATCATGTATTGCATTTAAAATATTTATTTTAGTTCTAGAGAAATCACAGGAAAGAGTCAAGAAGAAAACCAATCTCAAAATAATGCAGATTCTGGCACATTCTGCCACTACTATGAACCTGATACAGGAATACAAATAAATTATACTGGGATGGAGAAATAGTCCTCTATCCCTTCCTATGCCAGATGATTGTGAAGTGACTTTGTGTTTAACAGCTGCTGAGGAACTCTTGATTTCACTTGATTTCTTCCAGTGGAAGAAAACGCTGCCTGTACTTATACATAGTTTTTGTATTCCACCACAGAAGTTTGGCTCTTCTATCTGACACCTACCTGGCTTTCCAGGGAGGATGCATACATGTCACTTTTCCCCCCTAAAATATTAGTCTTATAAATAAGGAGAGAACTCTATGTTTTCTTTCATGTTTTAGGACTAAAACTCTGACCTGGTTAGTGTATGGACTGTCCACCAGGTCATAATAAAAATGAAGTTGTGCCTCAGTTATAGAGAGTTAGTTATTATAACTGTTTAACAAGAAATATGTAAGAAAACTGTGTTACACAACATTTTAAGGCTAAAAACTGAAAATTTCAAACCTGGGTCCAATGACAGGAATTAGTAAAATGTCTTGAAGTTTTGGGTGCTCGAGAACTGGAACACATAGTCCTTTAAATTGCTGTTTCATTAAAAAAATATAATTAGTAAGCACTAGTAATAAACTTAATATTTACACACTTAATGAAATTGAAACCCATTTTTCCATTCATAATTTCTAGGTGTAGAGCACAAACCACAAAAGTAGTGACAACAGTTAAAAGCAGCTGGGAAATAGTGTGCAAGGGGGCATTATATATTAAAAGTTCTGGTGCAAAAGACTAAACATTCAACAAATTCAGAAATAACAAGACCACTAAGAGATTGACTGAGAAATCACTTCAGGGAGTGGGAGAGTGTTGACACTCATAACCTAATCACTGGTTTTTGCTTCCTTCTGGAAGAAGATCGAGTTGTTGTCAGAACACACAGTGACACCACCTTAGAAGCTTGGGTGTATTCTGTGTTAACTCTCAAACGTTATTAGTACAAGCCACTGTTTAACTCCACTCATTAATTGTTTGTCTTACATAATAGGCCATGCTGGCAATACTTTTCATTTTTCTTGTCAGGCCAAGTTTGGGCACCGTTAGGTGAGTTAAGTATTTAGCTGAATAAAAAATTGCCGTTTTATAAAGATTCCAGGATTTAAACAAAATTATGTCTTCTCATCTGAGCCTTCTAAAATACAACCTTAAAGTATGTAAAACCATAAATCAGCTTGCATCAAATAAATATTTTCTCTTAGCAAAGGAAACAATCTATGATGATACTTCTGTTCAAAAACGTTATGTGATTTCCTTTTCTATCATGTAATCACATTTAAAAATACAATAAGTTATTGAAAAGCTGGTCTGAAGTCAGTTTTCAGCAAAGCCTTTTCCCTTGAAAGAAAATATAACCCTGCAATATCCATTTCCAGACTTCTACAATCAAAATAAAATTAGCAGAACACATTACCATCCCAGCCAGCAGAACACTGTCAACTCCCTCTGCATCACAGAAATGTCTTGGCTCCTGTCATGCAAAAGCTCCCTGTACACCCACTAGCATTAATGATTTACTTAAAGAACCAGATCTTTTTTAGACAGAGTGAAGATCTAGAACACAATTTCAAAATAATACATTTCTTAAACATAATTGTTTACGTATTACCAGATAAATAAATGTTTAATTAAGATAAGTGAAAATCCAGAAAATTATATAAGGATTAAAAACAGGTTTAAATAAAGAAAATACAGTGGCTCCAAAGCATCACCATGGCTCCAATTTCCAAAACATACCAATTTTCCCACTTTCCTGAACAGTTTCTCCAATGATATCTAGATATACAGGCATTCTCCTTCAGTCTTAAACAAAACTTCTACGCATGCTGAAGACAGCACACTGAGGTACACTTTTTATCTGTCATCTTCTCTTACCATTATTTATTTATTATCATTTACATTATTTACCACAGCAAATCCTATCAATCCTATCAAGGGTTTAGATCTGCCATACAAAAAGAGTTGGATGCCTTTTCCCTCTGTTGTTGCCTTTCTTGGAGGGATGACATGCGGGATACTGGTACACAATAAATTTTCATTTAATGCTTAATGCTGGCAGGAAATCAGTGTGATTGAATGATGTTAATACCACTGGATGCATTGAGGTAAGGTACAGTTTTCAGTAATGAAAAGGTCTCATGTTAAGATGAAATACCCTGCTGGTTTTGCTGTAACAAAGAAATTGCACAAACCTTCTGGATCTCTTCAAACAGCAATTTTTTCACATGTTTCACTGAGGCCAAGTGGGTATTTACTCTTACAGTTGTAAAAGCTGGTGGATGAGATAGATGACTTAACAGAGACTGGTATTTTTTCTCTGCCTCCTGTGCACCTAAAGCAGTGATAAGCTGAAAGTTAAAGAAGAGATTTTATATCAGGAGATTCACTCAGAAGCCTCTTGCTCAATGCAAAAGAACCCCACTGAATAAACATTCCATAGCAATTGAGGGATATGGCCATGTGGTGTGAAATAATGACAAATGTCTATGTCTGGAAGCCTAATTCCACTGGAAGCCTCATACATTTCCTGAAAAAATACTTATTGGAAAAACAGCTGTATCAGCAAAATCACTGCAAACAGTTTGCAGCAAGTACCAAAGCAACTGCTAGAGAGCTCTCTGCTATTGTGCATAGACCAGCCCTAAGGAAATGGAAAACTAAATTCCAATCTATGAATCAGTAACTTTCATACTGATAAACCTGTACATTAAAAAGCCATTTTTTTCTCCTTGGCATTAGGAATTAATGAGATTGTCTGTAGTATTCTACACTGGGTAAGGGAGTATTTCTTGTCAATATTATGTGGTGTATATGTGCTTAATTATCTATGATCCAATCCTCAGTGGGATCCAAAACTGACTTCTCTGATTTATAATCAATTTAATTTAAATATTTGTATGCTACTTTGAGTCAACGGGCATAAATAATAATTTTGTATTTTAAATATAGAAATATTTTATATTAAAAAGTCTGTGTTTAATGTCAAGATAATATTTTATTGTAAGGTATTAAAGTTACACAAAAATTTATTATTTTGTGATGGTTAGGGGTAACTATGTAACATACCTCATTATTTCTGAACACTTTGGCGAGATACTCTTGAACTTCATACTGGAAAACGATTTTAGGGAAAAAGGACATCTTCTTTTAGTTTTTAAATCTGCTGGCAAGGAACTGAAACAAGCAAAGTATTTTCTTTGTGATTATCATATTATCTAAGTTTATAAATTTAACACAAGATGTACCCACAAACTAAGCTGTTGGTTCTGATTCTTCCTATTTTAATACTGCAATTTTATTGCACTCAAATTTCCAAATATTGGTCAGGATAAGACTCTTAACATCTCAATTACAAAAATTCTACTGATCCTTAAAATAAATCTTCAAGCTATCTCGTGAAAAAAATACATGGATAAAAGGTACAGGAAATTTCAAGATGTAGCTTTAATTCCTCATGAAAAGCCCAGATATAAAGTCTATTGTAGCTCAGTCCTGACAGAGATTTCACACTTCACCATTTTTCTCTGTAGGTAATAAAATACAGTTATCTTCCCAAATGGTATCTGCCCACCCATCAAAAATTTTGACAAATTATATACATTTCAGTCTGAAATGAGAGTACCTGAAAATTTAAATTTGCTTACAACAACTTAAATGGAAGAGAGAACAACACTCTAGGTTTATTCCATTCATAATAAGGAATTTTGACTACTGAAATATATTTTCATTGCACTAAATATACTAAGAGAGATCAGAATGTTTGGTATTCATTTTATTTGAATAAGTGATTATTAGTCACTTCTATCATACAAAACCCCTCAAGAATATTTTTTTATTTTTAATATTTCCAATTCAATTCAAATCTTAAGTCTAAAAAATGTCACCTTATGTAGACCTACTTTTGAGACTAGACAAAGGTCAAGTTTCATGAGTAGGAATTTCAAAGCCTTATTCGGCAACATTAGCAGCTATTGAAAGAAAGAAACTGTAATTGAATTAACTTCTTTTTACAGGCTAACAAAATGCCAAGAATTTCCCCTGCTATTGCCAGGAAAACTAATAGTAGCACAATAGTACTACAATCTAACAGCAGATACAACTGAAATCACCAAAGCTCAGATTTAACATTTCAGAAAATGTGACATACCATGTGCCTGTTGTCCTAGAATGCCTACATTACAAAAACAAACAAACTCACAAAAAGACCCCCATATGGCCCCATTTCAAAAGGCTTTTCTTCAGAGGCATAATAAAGTAGCCCTTAAAAAAATCCCACCCATTCTAAATTTTTTAAAAGAATTGGAATCCTGAAAATAAGCAGACATTTGAAAACTCGTAGAAATGTGGTGTTTATAAGCCCTGTGAGTGACTTCAATATTTACATTATGAAGGCAATGTTGAGGCTCTGGAACATAGCTGAGAAGGGACAGGACAGCTGCTTTTAAGTTCAGAGAGAGCAGGAAGCCCGGCTGATGAGGGACACTGCCTAGTGCCCCTACTGCCAAGTACAAGAATCAGACTTCAAAGGCTCAGCAGGAGGCAGGCTCCCAGTACCTGAGTATTCTTTGGGGTTTTTTTTTTCTCCAGACCTGCTGTGCCGTACACCTTGCCCCAGAAAAGTTATGACGGATTTTAGAAGAAAAGATTTTTTTTTTCACTGATTTTCATGTGCCTCTGTGGGGAACTGCAGCGGGGAACGCGATCGAAGCCCTGCCGGACCAGGGCTTCGATCCAGCTACGCACATGAACGCTACCAGCAGTCACACGCAGCCAGCATCAGAGATATCGAGCTAGATTTTCAAACCTCCCTGCCCAACCTTTGCCACACGAGGAAAACCACAGTGCGGTCACTGTCGCAGGGAGCGGAATACGGGGCTCCCTCCTTTATTCCCTCGCCCGCCCGTTATTTAAAAATCAGGGAGCGGGGAGGAAGGGGAAGCGCAGCTCTTCCCAGTCCCCCGAGACCCTGCGCCTCAGCCCAGAGGTACCCGGGAGGCGGCCGCACCCCAGCGGGACGCGCCACCGCCACCGCCGCCTCATCCTCGACGGTGGCCTCATCCGGACACACGGGCGCGGGTCCGGCCCGGGCCTCCACGAGAAGGGCGGAACACGCAGGGACCGGACCGGAGGGCGCTCAGCCCGCCCGCAGCGGCGCGCAGACCCGGACCCACCGCCCGACACACACCTACCGCCAGGGCCCGCCGGGCCCGCCTCCTCCGGGCGGCAGCAGGAAGTGCCGCCCGCCGGTGTCGCCATGGAGCCGGGCACGCCGCGGCGCAGCCCCCGTGCTCCCACCGCAGCAGAGCCCGCGGGGCTCCCGAGCTTATCGGACATAGACGTTGCTGACATCCCTTAATTTTTTAATTATTATCCTTTGTTTTTGTTTTTGTTTTTTGTTTTCTGAAATTCTGCCGAGTGGATTAAAGTAACAGGTTTTGTACTTCCACCGCTTCTGCACCTCAGTGCTTGCGGGCTCGCTCGCTGGGGCGGAGCGGGTTCGTGCTCACTGACCCTCCCCAAGGTGCTGCTTGGGAGGAAGCCCGGGTGGGCACACCCGCAAGAGCTCAGTACAGGAACCTGCAGCACAGCCCTGAGCGCGAATCCGCTGCTTTCGAAAGTTTTACTGTACACGGGAGCACTGCTTGCCCTAAAACCCTCCACCCTTCCCAACGGCACGGGCCTTGGACCGGCCACAGCACCGCAAGGCTGGAGGACACGGGGCTGGCCAAAGCGCGCTGCCACAGCCTCCCACTCCGGCACCGACCACCGCGGCGGGGGCCTAGCGCTCCTCGCAGCATTCGTCCCTTGCGGGGCGGCTCCGTCCTCCCGAGCGTGCCGACCGCAGACCCTTCCAGCCCCGGTGGAAAGCTCGCAACTATCCCCTCAGACACCCTGCCGCCGCCATGACGCCGCAGTGACGCGCGCGGGCCGCGCCGGCGGGGGCGGGGCCGTGCGGCCGTTGGCGGGGCGGGGCTCGGGGTACCCCGGGCGCTCGGCGAAAAGCCGAGGCCAGGCATGGGCCTAATCTTCGCCAAGCTGTGGAGTCTCTTCGGTAGCCAAGGTGGGCGCGCGGGCCCGAACCGGCGGGGCGGGCGGCGAGCGGAGCCCGCGGGGCTGCGGGGGCCGCGGGCAGCCGTGGGGGCTCGGGGCCGGCTCCGCTCGCCGGGCTTCCCCTGAAGGCCCGCCCAGCCAAAAGTTGGGCTTTGCTTTGTGCAGCGCCGCGAGCGCAGGTCCCGCGGCGCCTCATGCTCGGGGTCGCTTTGTTTGAGTTGCCGAGGTGGTCCCTCCTCTCCCCCTCCTCCCTGGCCGCGTTGAGCGCGGCGTCTGCCCCAGGAGCCTTCGGGCGGTGCGCGCCCGGCATCCGCGGCGGCCGGGACCGCTGAGGCTGCGGCGGACGATGACGGTCCCTCTTGGCTTCGCCGATCCTTCTTTTTAAGTCGGAATCTGTTATTAAAATCGTGTCGTTTTAGTCTTTAATTAAAAGGAAAGGAAGGACGCCAAACATATAAGGGCCTTCGAGGTAAAGATCTGTTTGTGTTTTGGCAAAGATGTTAGTTAAATACAGTTAGTGACCCAAGAAAATCAGTTCTCCAGCCAAAAATAAAAAGGTCGTAAGGGGATAGTATCGATTTCCATGCTCCTGCCCAGTTCATCCAGCCCTGCAATCATAGCTCATGTTATAATCCAGAGTTCAGAATTTGGATCTGCCACCACCTTTACCTCAGATGGTTATCATAAAAGTAGAAAGTTATGGTTTTTCTGTTAATTTATTTGTTTGAATGATTTTGGTTTACTTAGCCAGCTTTGATTAGAAATTTAAATAGTTAACAGTAACATCATTTTACCTGCTCCAAGCTCAGGGCCTCAAGGAAAAACAATATAAACAATAAATTCATTAATTGTTCTCTCATCAGGTTTCCAAATGTGTACCTCATTTCCACTTTAAAGTTATTGAAAATGCAGATAAGCCTTTTTTGTGCAATGCTGTGTTGCAGGTTTTTGGAGGCAGATACACCTGGTACGTTTTCTACCTGTGATTGCACATAACTCAGTCTAATTCTGTACATACCAAAGCCTCAGTTGTGTGCACATTGACATCTGTGTATCAAACTGTCTTTCATGGGATGGGATCGGGATCCAGTCCCAGATCATTTATTTTTCTCATGCATACACCATCCTACCACATCATTCCTGAAGTCTAAGAGTCTTCTGAATTTGTTGCTAATTTCTTGTTCTTTCCCGTATCCTTCAGAAAAATAATAAGTACCTTTTTTTTTGTTTTCATCAAGTATCAATCTGCAACTCCTTTTCTTCCATGAAGTATTCCAAAGACTCCAAAGAGATCTATAAGCAGGGAACTGATCAGCAGATAAGTGGTGGTATTTAGTATTTGCCTCTATGGTAGATTATTATGTCAGTATTTATCTTCAGGAAAACACATTGTCCTGGTTATTGTATATTATTTCCTGGAAGAAAAGTTATTCTTCATTGTGAGTGACCCTGGCTGGATGCCAGATGCCCACCAAAGCAGCTCTGTGACTCCCCTCCTCAGCTGGACATGGGGAGAGAAAACACAGCAAAAAGGCTTCTGGTCTGAGATAGGAGAGATCACCCACCAGTTCCCATCATGGGCAAAACAGACCCAGTTTGTGAAATTAATATAATTCATTACCAATCAAACCAGAGCAGGTTAATGAAAAATAAAACCAGATCTTCTGAACATCTGCTCCCTACTCCTCCCTCTTTTTTTTCCCAGGATTAGCTTTATTTTTTGGTTCTCTGCCACCTCCCTGCAGGGGGGAATAGGGAATGGGGGCTATGGTCAGTTCATCACATATTGTTTCTGTCAGTTTCTTCCTTATGGAGGAGACTGCATCCCCTGTTCCAGTGTGGGATCTCTCCCATGGGAGAGAGTCCTCCATGGGCTTCTCCAATGTGTGTTCTTCCCAAGGTCTGCAATTCTTCACTCATGTTCCAACACAAATCCATTTCATGAGGCGCAGTCCTCAGGGACGGGCCATTCCAGCGTGGATCCCCCACAAGGTCACAAACCTGTTGGCAAACCTGGTTCAGAGTGAACTTCTCTTCACAGGTTGTTGCCAGGAGCCTGCTCCAACATGAATGTCCAGTGGGGTCAGAGCTCCCTTTGGGATCTACCTGCTCTAGCATGGGGTCCTGCGTGGGCTGCAGGGGGATCTCTGCTCCCCCATGGACCCCTGGCTGCCGGGCACAGCTGCCTCACCGTGGGCTGCGGGTGCATCCCAGACGCCTGCAGCACCTCCTCCGCCTCCTTCTGCACCGACCTTGCTGTCAGCAGAGTTGTTTCTCTCACATATTCTCACTACTCTTTTCTCTGTCCGTAATTTCACCTGTGCAATAACTTTTTCTCATCTTAAATATGTTATCCCAGAGTACACCTCTTACTGATGGCCTTGGCTGGCATTGGCTGCGTACACATAGGAGAAGTTTCTAGGAGTTTCTCAGAAAACACTGTGTAGCCCTCTCCACTATCAAAAAAAATCTCACATTGCAAACCTAATGCATTCATGTATTTAAATGGTTAATGAAATATTAGTCTCACAGTTAAATAGATGAGGTAATACCATGAAATATTTACTCTTTGGCATTTATCCCAATAAGAGACTTAGGGTGTGTCCTGATCCTGGTTTAGTGCTGGATGTGTCTTTTGTTTCGTTTTTGCTTTGTTTTGGGTTTTTTTTTTTTTTTTTTTTTTTTTTTTACCTCCTTTTCTTGTGTAACCACAGAAGCGAAAGTGAGTTTCTTTTCATGGCCAAAACTGAAATTTCATTCTAGAAAATTTGCTTCAAACATAAATTTTTGATCTAATGGGAAATTATACACAACTGTTCTCTTAAATAGTATCATTATTAATAATAAAGCATAGTAATTTCTGAGCTCATTTTGGTTGCTCTTCTGGTTTCATCAAATCTTGATAGTTCCTTGGAGAATTCACGGGCTGTCCTGTGGAGTTGCTTTGTTGAGCAGACTAGCACAGTAACTTACACACTAATTTTGGCTGTATAGAGGGAATATTCCAAAGATGCAAAGAGGGTC